GGGGTTATGAAGGCCTTTAATTTTATAATTTGCGAATCAGTTTGACCTTTCCAGGCTCTGAAGATGGCGAGCCTTGCCGAAACATAAGCCACTACGACTGTTGTAACAATCATGCTGCACTATCAACTGTATTTTTATATGCTTCGCTCATATTCAATAAATAATAGCAAAAATACCTCGGAGCTGTTAAACAGAAGAAGATACTCATTTATTAACTTATTTTCAACAGAGTAATGAAGAGAAACCGCTTTGAAAAGTCAAATGAAAAATGGAGATGCAAAAGTGGCCAGAAATAGAAACAAGAAATATAAGAATGAAGTAGGAATGATCACGTGTCGCATCATCCAACCACGCAAGTCAGCTGAAAACGACTTAGGAACACCTCTGAAAGAGGAGTTTTTGCCTCGGGGGCTTGCGAGAATCGATCGCAGCCCCAGCGAAAATTCGCCTGCTTAGCCTCCCACCATCAATTGTCCGATAATACACTTGTCTCTAACCATTCTTACTCCTCCAAAAGTGACGTTTTTGAAAAAATGCCGAATGTACAGGTGTCCTTCAACCTCTCACAGTAGCATAGAAGTCATAGGTATAAGCAGAAACTTGACTTGCTCACGGATCTCGATCAATATTGAATCCTGTAGTAATAGGTTGCCGGCTTGGATTGGGTGAATATCAACCGCTAATTTATAGATAATCGTAATACAGTGAAGAGAAAGTATTTAACTTGCTACGAACTCAAAATGAGGCCTATGCTATGCAGCGAAATTGCCTATTGATTAATCACTTATCGAGTGCGTCATCTTTTGCAAGATGATCTTCGGATGAATCGACCGGGATTATTAAACTCTCCAATTGTACCCTGAAACACATCAAAGTGGCCTTGCAAATTCGCAATCGAAACTTCGTCTGAAATTTCAATGAAGAAAGTCAACGATAGGATCAGCGTTTAATGTACGTTTAGCCTCCTTTGGAACTTACTCATCCAATCACTCTTTACCATGGATGCAACTCAGGTGATTGTATACACGTGCTTTTTGAAATCTTCCCGTATCTGTGAGCTCTTCGTCTGACATCGAAGCAGGTCACTCTTCTCTTGCCACTGCGTTCACTAACGTAAATATATTACTACATCAGTCGGGCATCGGATCTAATCATTTTGCTCTTCGATTTCTCTCCGTTCTAATTTTCGCACGACTTTTCCGAAAGCGACCTAGCGAAATTACGAAGAAAAACAATGCCAGCCTTTTCCGTGACCACAGAGTCTTTAACATTGATTAAAAAAAAGAAATTAATCTCCTGACCTATTATATTGTCAGAACAACTGTTCTAGACCGTTAGGATCAGTGTGTAGGGTAGCACAGTTGTCGATGTAAGAACTAGTTGCAAGCTTATCATTCTAATATAACTGAAAAACAAGATAAATGGATAAAATCGAAGTCAATGAACAATTTTGGGACTGAAGTTTCATTTGATGTGGTTTTCAGATACTTTATTGATTACTTTTCGTATTATTCACTTTTATTAATACCTCTTCTTTTCCATGGTAAATACGGTGTGAACTACATCCTCTACAATGCTGAGATACTAACAAAACTCGGATGAACTCACTTCAAACCGGCGCTTCCCCATTCGAGAACTCAAGTTCAAGCCACTGTGCCAAGCAAGCCGTGGTATTATTTTTTTTTATACCTGGCTCAACCATAGTGCTAAACAGTGTTCACCCGTCCTTGCTTTTATCTATGTCCACTGTGACATAAACACAGTGAGCAGATCTTTTAGTCAACATTGTTGATTGAATGCCAGTGGTTATCTTACGGCTACGACTATAAAATTTTTGCTATCTCGGTGCTACAGATGTATAAATCATCCGAGCCACTGAAATGGGCTCTATGAAGCACTTGGCGTTAGCACAAACTATTCAAACACACAAGCAAGTTGTTCTAGTGTTATTTGTGTGTGATACAAATTGCTAACAATCTTTAAGTGCCAGAAATACAATTCACTGCTGTAAAAATGTGTAGCAGATCTTTTCGCTTCATTGTTGTCGTCTTAAAGACAATTTAACCAATAGATCAAAACCCATTTTACAAGGCTTTAGTTCATTTTAAATACTTCACATTCTCTTCTGCATAGGGTTAAAGGTTAAACTAGCATCTAAGCCAAACCATAGACTCTGTTGCTCCAGAGTTAGCAAACTCGTACCATACTGTCTAGGGAGATGAAGACATTGAGAAAATATCCATTAATATAAGAATAAGGAAAAGAAAAGTAAAGTAAGCTAGTGAAATGAAAATGAAACAAGAGTCAAGATTAAGAAAAATGGGGATTATTAGATAACATGATAAGAGTAAGTTAAAATATTGGATTAATAAGCAAATTATTGTTACATTTTTTTATTTACATGCTATATGACCCATGATCACATTCAATGTGCGAATCTTCCCTCGCACTCATTATGTCAAAGGTCCAAAGATCTGGCGCGTTGTTTGTTACATTGTTTCGATTGCTGCGTGAGGATTTCAACTTCAATACACTTAAGACATTTGAGCTGTGAGCAAAAATACGACCTGAGATATGAGTCGAACCCGCTTTTCATCCATACGGAAGGCGCATACTACCACTACACCATCGACGTACATGTGCGTCACCACTTATTCTTCAACATCTCTATGTTAGCAATCAGCCACCAACCTCCAACAGGTTTGGTCGAGTATGAACATCAGAAGGTTTAAGGATTTCGACTTCTTTATAAGTACAGAAAAAATGTTGCAAAAGTCGAATCTCTTGCAATCTTGGAGACGGCCAAGCTAAGGCATTCTAACGCAATTGTGTGAGACACCTGGCAAGGGATTCAAACCATTACATTGCTTCATGATAGCCTATATCATTGTCAACTTCGTTAAGTAGCCGAATAGAAAGTAAAAAACGCTCACTAAAATAATAAATCGATTGCTCTTAAGTAGTGTTTTCTAGGCCACTTATGCATACAGTCAGCTAGGCCTGATGAACTTGACGTCATGGCACATCCTTAGAGGATTGATCAGCAGAAGTGTTATTCTTGATTCTTAGTTCTTTACACCCAAGTGAATATGGATTTTTTGCTCGTCAGTGAAAAATAATCCTGCTAATGGACGAGGAAGAAACCAAGTTTTGATTACTTCACAATCAGTGGTTTGTATATGTTAATCAACGTTTCTCAAATTTGCTAAGAAGCTTACCATTGCTGATGTTTATAATTTCTGGAATACTTGGTAGCCATTCTCACATGAGACAACACTTCTTCCTCACTGACTTGCAACTGTCTCACATGGTGGTGGCCTGATTGCAGCCGAGCTTGATTCAAACTTAAAGCCGCTGAAAAATCAGTCTTATTTTATTGCGCTGAGTTGCATTCAAGGAATTCTACTAATAACAACATCACTTTTGTTCATAAAGAATGCTGAATTATTCCATCAGTACCAAGGTCAATCGCGAGAAGAAGAGGCGAATGAAGAGTGTGCTGGAGCCCGCATAATCTCAGAAGACGGACCGTACAAGTATCCAAATAACCAAGTAAATATGTCAGGATTAATATATAGTCGCTCCTGGGATTCCTTACATCTCAAGTGGTTTTGAAATTACGTTCCCAAATGAAATTGTAAGTAAATATTTAATCATTATTCTATTCTAAATTCTATTTGAAACTCTGAACGCCAACGCGGTGGTCGCAAACGTTATACGCTACAAAACACCATCGATTCCTGCTGAATCAAATCCCATTTCCTTTTTGTTTCTCTCTCAAAAAATCAGCTTCGAGATAAAGAAGGTGAAAAAATACGCTTAATAGACTGTTTTTTTCTGAAATTAGAATTAGAAAGAATAGACAAAATGTGGTTCTCATCTTGATAGAACAAGAGGACTCGTCTCTTATGAGCAAAGAATTATAGATTTTAACACTTTCATTAGATTGAATAAAGTCCAATATGTGCTGATATATGAGCTCGTAAACCTGATAGTCAACATTTTATCATCATCTTTAATGTCAAACAATAACAATATCACCCATGGCATCGACTGTTTTTAAAAGACCTCGCAGCAAACACTCAATATAAATTTTCAAGAATATTTAAAGCCTTGCCCGAGATTGATACGCCAGGGTTATACACGCGTGTTTCGCAGATCTCGCCTCCCTCTTTTCTCGTCCGTAGCCCACCGCCCCATATTATTTTCTGCATTGTAGCAAGAAGGGAGGCCTATGCCGAGATCCATCGACTGAGGACTGGCGATGCCACATTGTTTTTGTACACTGGCCGTCACCACATACGCCTCCCTCCTTGCTACAGTGCAGGGCTTAATGTGGTGCGAAGTGCTAACGAGAGGGAGGGGAAGGGGTGAGGAGGGGTCGAGACCCCCGAATCAGCGTGTATAACCTTGGCGTACCAACCTCGGGTAAGGCTTTAGACAAATTTCAAAATTTATATTGAATGTTTGCTGCGAGGTTTTTCAAAAACAGTCGATGCCATGGAAAAAAACAGTGCCAATTCAGGCCTTAACATCTTCTACAAAACGTGAAGGTAGGTGATTTGCAAAAACTTCCGTTGCTGCTATCGTATTTTCTATGAGATTTGTAACTGACTTGTTGCAAAGTTTAAGTTGGCATCACTTTGAATGGCTTACTTGTAGTGCGAAGATTGAAAAAAAATGCAAAACCCCTACACAATTTTTGAATGTCTGCAGAAATACTAACATTTTACGAAAGGTTTGCTTTTAATGGAAGTTCAAGTGATCAGCAAGACAAATTTTGTGGCGACATTAGTATTTCAGTTCACGATTGAGTAATGATGGCAGCGCGAAAACAACTGCGAAAAAGCAGTAAAAATATTAGAATTTCGGAGTATTTGGTCTAGTAGTGGCTGTCAGAACTGGATTTATAAAGTGAAATCGCACCGACCAAACCTGTTAAAGTTTGGTGGCTGATACCTAACATAGAGATGTTGAAGAATGAGTGGTCGGGTAAATGTGCCTCGGCGGTGAAGTGGTAGAGCATGCATCCCCGCATAGGATAAAACGCGGGTTCGATTCCCAGCTGAGGCCGTGTTTTTGCCCACCACTTAATTCTCTTAGGAGTGATTATGGCAGTTGCATGTGAACATACTTTCTCCTTTTATTTCACTCCTACTTTGCTTCCATGTCCATTCTCATTTGATCAAAATCTAGAACACTTCATTACTTTTGCTTCTTATCTGTATTTAATCTAAAACAATATTATTGAACAATGAAATACAATGATGACATGTCACCGAGTGGCCAATTGACGTAGCCGATTCGCAAGCGTCTTGGAAGAATCGAAGCTTCATGGAAGCAAAGTCTTGCCACTTCGCTTGAATCCGCGAGACGATCTAGTGACTATAATGGATTCCAGCAATAATCATGTGCGACAACTATTCAACGTCCCAGTAAGAAGATAGGAAAGTGTGGCAAACAAGTTTTTAGTTTGCACAACAATGGTTTTCTCAAAAACATTCACCGTTTCCAAGACTGACTTTCTAATAGTCTTGAAATTTCCGATAATTCACAGATTTTCTTTTCTAAGCCATACCCAAAATTGTTATAATGCAATTCATTCGATCAGCTGGTGCTTCGGCAGTTTCGCCTTTCTCAGAACCTGGAAAGATCAGATTTCTCACAACCTAGCCAGCCAAACAACCCCATAACTTTAGCAGGAAAAGATTATCAAACCTAAATTTCAATCGAGTCAAGTGCAAAGCAACTTTTCCAACACTCGTCGCTTTTTAGTTTACTTCCACTGAGTTATCCACGTGGAGACCATCCGTGCAGAGATCACATGGATTGCTGACACACCTTTCACATCAAAATAACAGCCTTATACATTGGGTCATATCAAGAGCTATAGCAAAGCATTCCCACCTGTGATTCGTGTTTGAATTTATGAAGGTTATCCAGAAATCTTCAAAGATCTTACCCGGTGTGGTTTTATATGCGGCGAAGGTACTTCATGGTTCAAACTACTTTTCTATGTATATGTGCCCTATGCGAGTCTAATAGTGTGCTTAATTTAGCTTTGAACTTATCGACTAGGTAAACTTCCTTACATGCACAAAATAGCCTACCAATTTCAGCAGTGTACTTGTCGGCGTATACTTGACAAGATATCAAATAAACTATACCCGTACTGATGAAATGACCGTTTTCACCGCTAGGGCATATTATGCAGTATTGCGTTGTGCATAGACGATCATAAAAACGGTCATGGGCCAGCTGGTGTCTCGTTTTGTTGTTTTTTAGTCCATCAATGATAGTTCAATGACTTTTGCTCTGACATTCTGGATTGCTGGGCAACGATGGTAACTATCACACCGAAATCTTCGCCGTTGCGTTTTTGTATTCTAAACGTACCTAGCGTAATATTCTGTTTGACTGTAAGTTTCTGAATAATGAGTGAATTGCTCAAAAAGAAATAAAAAGCTGAGTGCTCAGGAAAATTCATCACGTCATTTATGTAATAAGTTTCTTTGCTGTAGTTATGATGTTATTGATTGAGAAAATTCCAAGTCAATTTGACCTTAGCACGTTCTGCAGGAGGCAAGACTGCCAAAACGTCTGCGATTATTTTATTGTTGGAGCGTATTCATTGAATTCTACCAGCGATATCCTTACTTAAGCCTATTAACATAGATCATAAAGTTTATTTCGGAGAAATTACTTAGATAGCGTTTTGACGTCTTCGTCTTCCTCAGAGTCGATTATTCATATCAATTGTCCACCGTGGTTTTCTCACGTAGTGGTCTACGCCTTGGTCGTCGTTCGAGCTACATCTCTTCGGGTGAGACACGGTTAGGAGGAAGAACTTCTTGACGATGCCCTCTTACACATAACGGCTGTCCATAACATAGCATTGTCTGTCCGTTGGTAGTTTTGTGTTTTTCATTACCAATCAATCCATTCTGGAGTAGCCGCTATCATTACTGTCTAATAAAGAGCGATGCCACAATTTGTCCGAGGAAAATTGACTCGTTTCATTGCCTCCGAGGAAGACGAAGGCGGAATATGTTAGACGATTAAATTAGATTCTGTAAACTTCATGCTGATGGCTTGATACTGTGGGGAACATCATACGTGAAATCATACGTGAAATTACAGTTTTTGCTCAAACATTTTTCCGATATTTGCACACCTATGTGAACACCTGCGCTGAAAAAAGTCAGTGGATGAAGATGCTCTTTATCAACCTTTTCAGAACTAAGTAAATTAAAAAGTGTGTCAAAAATAATGCACCGGTCTCTTTACGATTTTCTCGGTACGCCCAGATTTTCACTGGACTTCTAGTAGCCTTTGGATAGCTGAAAAAGTTGCGACTCCATCATTACGCTAGGCTTCCAAGAAGGCTTTGTTGATGAGCTGAGCAAAGAAGAAAAAATACGTTCGCCCTTCGGTTCGGAGTGTGTAATCCGTTTCGCACTCGCATTTGCGTGGCTTTTTTCGCTGAGCAAAATTCTTGATACATCTCTTTTATCCCTAATTATTCTCAATCCTTTTGGGACAGCGTGTTCCCTGCTTCTTCAATGATTTTGAGTCATTCGACAGCTTAATTCTTGACCGTGCTGCACTTCATTTCCAAAATGTGTTCCATTGCGCCGTAGCAGCAAAAATAAGGTTAAGTCAAACATTTGTCACGATTTTCGCTGGACAGAGCTTTTCTTGTACATTTTCCTATCATTTGAAAGCTTTCCTCTAGAACTATGGCACGACTCGAAAGCTCAAAGAGCTCGTGTGGAGCAAGGTTAGAGGTGCAATGTGTCGCACGCAAGGTCCATGGCTCGATCTCGCTTTAGTGGGCCACCAAATCTTCTACTCCGCGGTCGGTAAATTACCAAATTTCTCTAGAAAGCTTAGTAACACGAACTTGACCCATTGGTAGAGCACTGCAAATCATTGTAAAGGCCAAATATGGCGTTGAATCTTCTCAAACGAAGCTAAAGTTGAAGATGAATGCAAGTCGCATCTCACAGGGATTAATCAAAATCGAGAAAATTATCCTTTTTCATTAAAAGATAAAAATAAACAGCTTTAATCTACAGAAAGATAGTAAATTTAGTACAAGACTTCTTCTTCTGTTCCGAAAACATTTTCAAAATTTGCTTTGACATTTCCATGCATCACGGTTACCTCTACACGCTTATTCGTCTTTGGTGCATATATGTCTCTTGTGTGAGGTCAAACTGTGAGAGTGAAACTTTTCTTTTGCACCTGTACCACCCTGTGAGGAGCTTTTGCAAAGCTGAATCCAATTTCAGATCCAACAATATTTTTGCTCTCGCAAAGGTGCTAAACTTTTAATGGGAAGTCATCCACACTCTCTAGACGAGTTCACAACTCAAACCAAGTTGAAACGTAAGCTTCACCACACTATAAACGCTTTTGCAATGATCAAGTAGAGTATAGAAATCGCCGAGAATTGAACGGTCGAATGATCGTTAAGCGCCTAGGGTCAAAGTATTGTCCAACGATAAGAGTGAGATCCCGTCACCAAATATTTTGTGACTGATTGGCGATGCAAACGATGAAAAAATGTCCGTTTGCAATTTGTGTTACAAAAGCTTTGTACAGACTTAGAACAGTAGGATCTGAACGAGTCAACCGAAAAAAAAGAGTAGAGTAACCCCTACAAATATGAGAGGTTCTGAGCTAAAATACCTGTCCAGTCGTTTTTCTCTTTTCCAAAAAAATCAGTCTCACGTGATATGCCTCAAACATCGATCTCAGAGAACGCGATTGTATTAGACTGGTGCGAAAGTAAAGATGGTTCTGTGTCTTAAATAGTTAAATGGTTATAACTATAATCAAGCAGATCTTTATCAATCAAAATTGAAACCATGATAGATATCACATTTTTGCCAGTAAGAAATAAGCCTACTTATTTTTATAGCTCAAAAATTGGTGCTTTGAGATTCTACGAACTTCTGTATGGCATCTTCTGTACCTCGAGATCGAATGAAGCTTCAGTTCTGTTCACTAATTGTTTGGCGATGTTACAAACATAGATGTCGCGATAGGGTCAATATTATTGTCGAAAATTGGTTCGAAAGTACTCGTCTTCCCTTCGTTACTGCCTGAAGAGTTAACGTCGATTAGTTGGTGCAAGAAGGATTTTGGCACGAACTCCAATGCCGTCGTGCACTGAAATAACTACTTTTTCAGATCACTCTTGGATTCAATCGAAGTTTTCTCGCCTCCTGAAAAGTGATCTCTGTTGTGTTGTGAGTTTGTCAATCATTGAAACGCAATAGATTATTTTCAGCAAGTTTTTTTTTCCAAAGTAAGAGCATGAGCGTGTGGAGAAAATTTCGAAGTATCAGAGACTATCCTGAATTTATCAGAAAGTCTACACGTAATTCATGCCGCTTATTGATATTACAGCAAGTACAGACAACCTAACTGACAAGAAGTGCTCACCGAGTGCGAAAGTTATTTTCCTTTTGACTATTACGGCGCTCTATAGAGCCCTTTCTAAGAACCAAGTAATCCTTTGAAATCTTTGAGATTTCCTTTATCTAATTACTATTATCTGATAGTAAAAAATTTTTTTTGGCAAGAAACGCTTGAATGTGAAACAAAATTTTCATTTAGGCTGTTACAGCGCCAAAAACTAGCCATTTGAGAAAGATAATGCTCTACTCAAATTCACTTCTGAGCTATCGAATGAGTACCAAGACCTTTCACAGAAGCAAAAAGTACGCTTTTACCGGAGAGCTCAGACAGGGTGGAGATAACGGTAAAGCACTGCTAAAACTTCTTAGCTCAATTCGTTTAACTTGTAAAGCATTCGATTTACCACGTGTGGATGTTTGGCTATGAAAGGGCCGTAGCTTTGTCATTACTTTTGCACCAGTCTCTTTTTTTACCCTTCCATAACTTTGAATAGCGAACGACCACAGAATGATCGTCTTTACATTTTCGTGCAACACGCCGTGTAGTCTGAAGAGGATTAGCTCTGATGATTGCATTCAGTTGGTTGGTAACCAGTTTTTTAAAAATGTATTCTTGAAGTGGCAAGTTGTTTTGCTGCTTTTCGA